GGCTGGTCTCGAACTCCTGAGCTCAAACAATCCGCCCGCCTCGGCCTCCCAGAGTGCTAGGATTATAGGCGTGAGCCACCGCGCCCGGCCTTTATTTAGTTTTTGCTTGCTTGGTTTTGTTTTCTTTTTTTAGGGACTCATAGCCAGCTTTTTTCCCTAAATTTTTAAAATTGAGGTAAAACTCACATAGCATAAAACTAACCATTTTAAAGTGTACAGTAACAGTAGCATTTAGTACATTCATAATGTGTAATCAACACCTCTATCTAGTTCCGAAATTTTTTTGTCACCTCAAAAAGAAAACCCATTCCCATGAAGCAGTCACTCCCCAACCCTCCCTTCCCGGGACCCTAGCAACCACTAATCTCCTTTTTGTATCTATGAATTTACCTATTCTAGATATTTTACATAAGTGGAATCAAATAATATATAACCTTTTGTGTCTGGCTTCTTTCATTTAGCATAATGTTTTTAAGGTTCATCCACACTGTACCATGTATCAGTACTTTATTCCTTTTTACGGCTGAATAATATTCCATTGTGAGGATGTACTATGTTTTGTTTATCCATTCATCCATTAATGGCTACTGGGTGCTATGGTCTGAATGCCTCCAAATTCTGCCTCCAAATTCATATATGTTGAAACTTAATAATCAATGTGATAGTACAGTCATGTGCCACATAACATTTCAGTCAATAATGGACTACATGTACAATGGTGGACCCATAAGATTATAATGGAGCTTTTATAGTATATTTTTACTGTACCTTTTCTATGTCTAGATATGTTCAGATACATAAATACTTACCATTGTGTTAAACTGCCTATAGTATGTAGTACAGTAACATGCTGTACAGGTTTGTAGCCTAGGAGCAATAGGCTACACCGTACAGCCTAGGTGTGTAGTAGGCGGTACCATCCAAGTTTGCATAAGTGCACTCTATGATGTTCGCAGAACAACAAAATCATCTGAACATGCATTTCTCAGAATGTATCCCCATTGCATGACTGTATTAAGAGGTGGGGCCTTTAAGAAGAGATTAGGTCATGACGGCAGAACACTCATAAATTGGATTAGCGCTCTTACAAAGATGTGCAAGAGAGTTGTTCGCCCTTTCCACCATGTGAGGGTGCATCAAGAGGCACCATCTTTGAAGCAGGGAGCCCTCACCAGACCCCAAACCTGCCAGTGTCTTGATCTTGGACTTTCCAGCCTCTAGAACTGTAAGAAATAAATTCCTTTTGTTATAAATTACCCAGTTTAAGATATTTTGTTACAGCAGCAGGAATGGACCACAGCACTGAGTGATAATGGTAATTCCACGTTTAACTTATTGAGGAACCACCAAATGGTTTTCCACAGCAGTTTTTTTTTTTTTTTTTTTTTTACCTTCCCATCAGCAATGCACAGGGTTCTAATTTCTCCACATCCTTGCCAACACTTGTTATATTCTGTTTTTTGTTTTTAAATTAAGGCCATCCTAGAAGGTATGAAGTGGTAGGCACATTCGGCTTCTTAAGTCTCATGTGTAATTGTGGAGTGAGGGGCTCCTCGCACAGGCCTGTGCACGCAGAGGAAGCGCGTTGAATATGAAGGCAACAGCGAAGTCTAAATGAGCAAGTCTAAGTGAGCAACACCAGTGGGGAGGGGTCCTGGCCTAAAACAAAACAAAACAAACAGAGATGAGTAGGTAGGGTAGATGAAGTCTGGAAAGCCAAGGGGGTAGGGCTTTCAGAAGAAAAGAGTGGTCGATACAGAAAGGTCACTTAGAGGAGGCCTCAAAGGAACCATGAGGGTGGGCACCTGAACTGGACTGAGGGGGCGGAGTAGAAGGGCTTTCCCAGACCTAAGAAATCACACTGGTACACAAGGAAAAAAAATGTTTGGGCAAACCCGAGAGCTCGAGGTGGAGCACAAGTAAGGACGGGCAACCTCAGGGGCCAACGCCTGCCCCAGTCATCACCTAGGGAGCAGAGGGACCAGGAATAATAGCTTTCAGAAAAAGAAGAAAGATAGGGTGGGAGAGACAGAAAGCAAGTCAAAGGAAGAGAACAAGGTCCTTAGTCAGGGCCAGGAGGGGAGCAGGGCTACTGCCTTTGGTTAAAATCCTGGACTGAAATACCTAAGAGGGGCCACATCATTCTAGAGAAAGGGGAACCTCTTCCAGCTAGTCCACTCTGATACGGATCTTTCTCTCTTTCCCATCTAGGAGCCCTATGGCTACTAGTGACCGTGGGTGACAGTAAAGATAAATTGTCTAAGATGTCCCAGGTGACAAGCAGTCTCCAGCCTTAGAAATGTGGTCAATTTTCATTTACCAAGAAGCAGATAAAAGGAATCAGGACAAGGGTCTAGGTACTGTATAAGCAGTAGGCTTTTGTTCACTGTTATGATTGAAGCCTTCAACTTTCAATAGAATCATTTAAAGAATCAGAGATCCTTCAGAGGCTCTTTTTAAGACAGATCATTTTAAGAAAGACCTTAAAAACCACCCCTTGTCATACACAGGAATACAGCTGAGGGCCCAGAAAGGCTCCAAGGCTGGCTGAAGTCCAGAGGCCAGCACCACACACAGGGCCGCCGGGGCCAGCATTGGGCCACCAGCACCGCCTTGGGCTCTTTCCGCTGCCCCCAGCTGATGTTCACCTCCAACCCAGCCAACCACATGCTCACCTCCTTGGCTTAACTTCTAGATTAGCATCTAAAAATTCTGAATTGCATCACACGCTGTGCACATATGACCCATTCCACCGCTTTACGATTTAACAGCGGCTTTTCCTCTTGTTAAACATAGAAGTAAAAGGAAGAAAAGATGACAGGGGAGCAAGGAGGTGGAGAGGGAGAAGGAGAAGAAAAATGGAATTGTTATACTATAGGCAACTTGAACCCTGGCCTTTCTCCCTTCACATACATGAATGTGTTCTCTTCGTAAAAAATACATTACGGAGGTCAAGTCTCCTTTCTATCCTCCTCCCCAGAGACAGCCGCTGTTCTAGATTCATAGTCTTCGAGTCATTTTCTTTGCATTTACGCAAATACACACGTATACGTGTCACACACTGTAACATATTGCTCTGCAGCTTCCTTTTCTCCTTCAACAACAGGCCTTGCAACCTCTTCATCTGAGAGAACACAGATTCAGCTCACTTGCTCTAAGTGCTGCAGATGGCAGCAGTTTAGCCATTTTCCAGTGGGAGGAGCACCAATTTCCAGTCCCACCTACAATGCTGAGAAATATTAATACAACACATTTTGATTTTTACCCTTGCTTTAGCTAAATGCAGCTACTTACTGCCAAGCTGCCCCCAATGGTTTTCCCAAGTTACATTGCCACCAGCAATGTATGCATTAATCACTTTTAACTGTGTTTATATGCTATTCACAAAGACATGAAGTCATTTATTACTCCCGAAGTAAAATTATGATACTTCAAACATTATTTTTAAATGCACATATTAGAAGCACTATTTTGACACCTGCTCCCAAATAACACTGAAATTATATTATTCCTTCTGCATAGCCCATTTACCAAGGTCTGCTGGCCTCCACCATCTCTTTTAATGACATCAATATATGGAAAGGAAAAGACCAAATTAGAGGAAGACTCTCCCCAAGATAAAAAGAGGAAGGAATGCCAAAAAAAAAATACAGAAAAGCAAATGAGTCGTGGTTAAATGAGGACTCAATGGCTTCATCTCTACCGAGAAATGAACTTCCCCTCAAAATTGTGTGGGTCACTGAAACTGTAGAATAGTACAGCCAAGAGGTGGTTTTTAAAGCCTATTGTTAGATTATCCCTTGGGGAATTAGTTTGTTTAATGTTGGCAGACAGATTTTTTTTAAATGAAAAAGAAACCACAATTTCAAAATGCATTAATTATTTCCTTAGAAAGTTCCCTATTCTATGACCTCCTACGTAACATTTGCTACAAAATAATCTCAGGAACATACTGCACTTTCAACCTGATGCATCTGAATGTGCACTTTCCAGACAGAGGAGAAACAGACAAAACAACAGACTATGCATTTTCTGGACCATAGGTCACAAACAGCTAGAGACCTTTACCCTGGCTGAGTAGACTGTGCATCTTAATTGTATACCAATTCCTAAGTATCCATTCCATTGTCCCATTCCCGCCTCTGGGATGACCAACTGTCCTAGTTTGCCTGGGACTGAGGGAGGTTCTTGGGGCATGGGACTATCAGTTTCTAAATCAGAAAAGTCTCAGGCAGAAACCTAGGAGAAGTCTGGTCACCCTACTGAGAAGACTTCTTGCAAAAACCACCACCCTGCCCTCACAATACACCAATCCCATGCAGAATATTAATAATGCCCTCGGCGGCTTGTCCACACCTCTGTCATGGTCCTCACCTTACAGATCTGGTCTCTGTAATAGGCACACAATAGTTGCCCAGTAATGCTCAGATAGAATAGATTAGGTAGGCAGGTGGATAGAGTCTCCCCTATAGCCTACAGATAGTGGGAATTAGGATTTGGCATTTAAAGAGAGCTCTACTTTCTTTATATTGATGATTGGGGACAGAGGGGAAGTGACAGATCGTGGGCTGATTTTATGCATATGTTTAATGTTTTGCTTCAAGACTTTTCCGCACCAGTTGATTTCCTTTTGTCCCTGAGTCACTGCCCAGCAACAGGGTCCCTAAAGGCCAAGCCCAGTGGTTAAAGGGCAGACCCAACTTTTCTCCAAAGTGGCTAGGTCTATGTGACTCGGGCCTTAAAACTTAAAATGTAAAAAGAACTCAATTCAATAGAATTTGTATAGAGAAGAAAGAGTACAAAACATACACAAGTAAAAGGCTGTGAAAGGAAATGTCATGTTTTTGGAAGAAATATTGGGTTTGGCTGAAGCAAAGGATGATAAGATTTGAGGTGATAAAAATTTGCAGAGCCCAAGAGCAAAATGCCTTGTACACCCAAACATTGACAGGGGGAGTTAAACCAGTGCACTCTCTTTAAGGGGCCATTTCACAGTAATTACCAGCATTTAAAGCAAACATTCTCCTTGACACAGCAATTCCCTGCCTAGGATTGGTACTTGCAATAGTATATCCAGATGCATGAATGAGGATATTCACTAACCATTGTTAAAAACCCAAAACAAAAACAATAAAACAAACAGAAACTTCCCTAAATGTCCATCAATAAGGAATTGATTGATTGAATTATGGTCAATCCATTAAATATAATACTGTATAGACATTGTGAAGAAGAAGTTGGCCCTATATGAGTCGATGTGGGACTGTCTCCAAGACACATTCAGTGAAAAATTCGAGGTGCATAAGAGTTCATACAGTATGATCTCAAATAGGTTGGAAAAAAAACTTCGACTGTGAATACACTATACATACATATTATATATGCACACGCAAAAACGTGTGCTTTTCACATACCTAGAAAATATCTGGAGAGATACAGAAGAAAGAGTATTTTTACTTTATAACTTCCATACTCTAAATATTTTACCATGATTATGTTATTACTTTTATAATAACAACAATAAGAAAAACTGCTTTAAACAAACTTTTTTTCATATCAAACATCATGAGTTTTATCCTACAGACAAAATGGTCCCAATATAGGAGTTTTAAATTCAAAGAATGACTGAATAATAAATACGTATACTATGCCAGATAAATAAAAGTTACAGTGGCACGTATAGCTTCAAGAGAACTCTTCTGGTAGAGTCAATTGGACCAAGTTCTGACTCCAACTCTGTCATTGTCTTGACCTCAGCAAGTTACATAAACTGTCTAGGCCCCAATTTCCTCCTTTAAAAAATGAATACAATAAACAGCACCTACCACCTACCTACGGTGAATATACAGTACCCAGCAGAGCTTCAACACATAGCAAACAATTAATGGTGGCTAGTAGTAATTGAAGATGTATCCTCACCAGTATGGTGGTCAAAAATAAGGGAAAAAAAGTAATTGAAGTTGTAATAGTGATGTGCTATCACAAGTCCCATTAAGAAGGTACTAGGCCAGGTGCAGTAGCTCACACTTGTAATCCCAGCACTTTGGAAGGCCAAGGCCGGAGGATCATTGGAGCCTAGGAGTTCAAGGCTGCAGTGAGCTATGACCAACCATGTCACTGCACTTTAGCCTGGGAGAGAAAGCAAGACTTTGTCTTAAAAAAAAAAAAAAGAAGGTTCTAAATCCCTCTCCTGGTCTTCTCTTGATTTAACATTGTCAATTCCTTAGCTTTTTCTCAAAATTGGAAATGATTATTAGTTTCTTATGAAATGAATAATTGTCCCAAATAGGTCTGAGACTTGCTAAACAAACAAAACAAATGGATAATTGGACCTGCTGCCTTATTATGAAGATTTAAAAAGATGTTTATCACCAAGTAATAGTTCATTATCTTTCTCCACACAGGAGTAAGATAAGCTCAGGTATTTTCTGTGATAAGCATCGAAAGATAAGTAGGACCGTGGGAACAGAGAGGAGGAAATGGTTTTTACTAAATTATTTGGATCTACACTCAACAGTTTAGGTGACCAACTACTTGTCTGAGACCTTAAGCTCTCTGCTAATTGCCACCAGAGCAAATTTTGTAGGTTTACGAGTATTCCAAGGAATAAAGTTTGGCAGATGGGCCAGCTGGGCTAATCAGGCACAGGCACTGCAGTTGAGGATCAACAGTTCATTTCTAAAAAAAAAAAAAAAAAAAAACTTTGGCACTCCCTACATAGAGTAACAGCTCCAATGGGACTAGATGAAAAGTAAAGACAAAATAAACACTCCTCGTCATCCAGCACCGTGAGGCTTTTCAAGGGAAGCTCAGAGCAGCTATGCACTAGCCTCTGTGGCCTAAATAATCAGGCTTGACCCTCTTTGAAGGCCTCAGACTCCACAGATAATTATCATGCTAGGTGTGTGAGAACCTGTCACCAAACCATCATTTCTTCTTGAACTCTGTTGAAATCCTTAGTATTTCACTGTATTCTCCATTTACAAATGGAGAAATTGAGTTGCCACTGTTGCTTCTCCTTGTTGGAAGTACCCAGCATACTCCAGCCCACCCCGAGTGCACCTGTCTAGACCTGATAGCATGCTCCGTGAGTTCATGCAATAGGTAAGTTGTGGCCACTGCCACCAACTGCATCTTTCACAGTATCTACCAAGAGCAGAAGGCCAGGTGTTCTTGAGGAACTAACCCGGTCGTAAGAAAGAAGCAGGAGGGTTTGTGTGGAGGGAAGCCATGCACTTCAGCACTGAGGGGAGGAGAGTCCAGACTTGTGTATTGTGACCCCAGCCATGCCAGAAATGTGGGCATGACGGCTCCCTCCTCAAGCGCCCAGGGTTCTCATCAGATGAATAAAAGGACAGGGACTAGATCACTTGAGATCCCTCCAGGCAATAAGCACTGACTTCTGCCAAGGATGTTCTCTCTAGCAAATCCAAGGGGGAAAAAATCCTAAATAACAACCTCAAATTCACAATGACTCAAACCCAGAGTTCCTGTTTTCTGTGTTTGGGCAGTGAAGAGCTAAGCCACAGAAATGACCATGCAAAGTCTTATACTCCGTACCAAAATCCCAAGCCATGGACACTGGAAAGATGTGGCATTTCCTCTCCCAGCTGCAACCTTTCACTCCCACAAAGACTAAAATACACAGGATTCTGCAGTGGGGAAGTTCCTGCTTGCCTGTATCTAGGGACCTAGGCAAGTCCAAAAACCCGTACGTTATCACTCCCAAACTTCCCTTTCGCCCCTCAGACTTATAACCTGGAGAGAGCACAGGCTTGGGGGAGTCAGACTTGGGGCTGGCGAGACTGAACACTAAAGGCAAGAAAAAAAATAAGTAATAGCAATTAACTTGATTCTGGCTAAAAAGAACTCGACCATTATTGGCATATTCTTGGGGGTGGGGCAAATCAGCATGGTGGGAGTGGGCCCCGCCCCAGAGACCTGCTGGGATTGGGGGGTGGGGGGGGTGGCTTCCCCTTTCCCGGTACTCCAAGAGCAGGTATTCAGGGCAAAAACGCACAATGCCACCCAAGTGCGTCACGCCACAGAGATCCTAGGGGAGGCAGAGGGTTGTCCCGGCAGGTTCACCGTCCCCACCTGACCCAAAGCAGAAGAATGGGCCGTCATGGACCCCTGGTTCTGGGACGGGTGGGGACCAAACAAGACAATAGGGCCATCAGAACAAAATGACAGGAGGAGGAGGATGAGTCCAGCTGCCGGGAATACGGACAGGAGAGGAAGACAGAGCGAGAACTGGAAGGAGCGTGCAGAGGAGCGGGCGTGCACTGACTGTCCCTGGAGAGAATGCCCCAGATACACGCAGAGACCCACGTCCAGCTTCCAGACGCTGCGGCGCACGGGGACAGCCCCCTCCCGCCGGCCCGCCTGCCTTCCCTGCTCCCGCGACCCGCACCGTGTTGTAGAACTCGGCGATGGCAGGCACGATGGTGTAGTTGTCCTCGCACCAGTCCACCTCCGAGCTGCCAGCCTGCAGCTGGTCCCACCAGTGCGGGACGCCCATGGCCGCTCTGGGGCATTGGAGCAGCAGCTCCTGCAGCCGAGAAGAGCCCAGAGCTACGGCGGAGGCAAAGCGCAGCGGCGGCGGCTTTATGAAGTACCCGGCAGCCGCCGGATGTGGCGCCTCCCCAGCCGCCCTCCCGCGCTCCGCCCCGCCTGCGGGACGTGACTCGCCCGCAGACCCCTCCCCGGCTCCGCCCCCGGGGAGACCACGCCCCCCGCGTGGAAGGAGGGGTCTGGAGTGGGCGCGGGGAGGCGGGGACCCGACTCCTGAGCTTCGAGACGCCCCTGCAATCTGCAGGTGGCTAGGGCCTTGACGGTCCTGCCCACGCCTGCCCACACCCATCGCCTGGCTCAGATTCGCAGGCGCCCCTAGATTGTGCAAAAAGAGCCAGAACCCTCTCTGGCAAAAATTTAAAATAAGGAGAAACCCAGGAGGACCCAGACGCCATTGACCTGTAGGGAGTTTGCACCGATTTGGCTGAGCCGCGCGTGGGATGTCCGTGCTCAAACCTGAGAAATGCCCTTGGTCCCTCCAAAGCCGGGAAGGGTTTGCTCGACCAGACTCGCTGCAGTTGCTGGGCCGCAGGGGCAGGCTCAGGGACCCTCCCACAAAGCCTGGGCCGCCCACTCCTGGGTAGAGCACTTATGCAATTTCCAGTATGTTCCTGCCCTCCTTCCCCTAGACTCCAGCGTTAAGGTTTAATCTAGTCTTCGATGTGGTGGCGGCTTAGGCACAGTCAAACTTCAGCCATCTCAACCCTCAGAGGCTGCAGTGTGGCAGCTATGACATTTCCAGGACATCGAAGGTGCAAGAAATGATGACACATACGTGCGAGGCGCTGTTTGAAGAGCTTCTATGTATCATTCATTTAGTGTGCCCGGTGGAGATCCTGGAGATCCTGTGAGGTGGGTTCTATTAGCAACCCCATTCCAGCCAGTGGCAGAGTGAGGAAGCAAATTCAGACAGCATGACCTCAGATCTGCTCATTAACACTTTGCTTCTGTAACTATCCTGTAGATTCTAAATGAAAGCCAATCTGGTCCCCAAGATCCCTGGAGAAAGCCAACTTTCTTTCTCTCTCTCTTTCTCTCTCTCTCTCTTTACCTCTCCCCCCTCCCCCTCAGTTCTTCCGTGGGAGGTTCTAGGATTACAAGTCAGGACAGTGGCAGAAGAGGCCCTGGGCAGCAATCCATGCTATTAATGACTGTCATTAGGATCTCCTTGCTCAGGCCTGCATAGTACCCTAAAGCCCAGCAGCTCCACAGGGGCTGCCCTCTCTCTGGGCCTGACTGCCCAATGGGACCCTAGCTGGTGCTGCAATGTCCTATGCATCAGTGTCTGTCTCCCACAGTTACCCACACAGTCATTTGCAAGTCTCCAGAGATCTCCATCACTGGCAGGAACTGTAAGTCCCACCTCCTCTCCTAGTCATCAGGAAATCCAGCTTTGTCCGCTAGGGGCCAACTCTCTCTGCTCCTCTCATCTTTGTCCTAACTTCTATCCCTCTTCCTCCTTGACAGCCAGTTCCACTGCCTCCTGGAACCCAACTAGGAGATCTTCTCCTAGGGTCAGACTTGCTGAGACCTGTGGCATACCCAGTGTTACCTGGCCACCTAGGAGTAGGGAGGAGAGGTGGATATTTCCCACAGCCACAAAAGAAAAATACACCAGTTAATTTCTCATTGTTTCACAGTGCTACACCAACTGTTCAACAATAGAATTTTCCATGTAGTCAAGATTTTACTCCTTCCAACAGTTTAGGTGAAAATATATCCACATTCATCAACTCTAGTGGGTTTTTTTTTTTTTTTTTTTGACAGAGTCTCACTCTCTTGCCCGGGCTAGAGTGCCGTGGCGTCAGCCTAGCTCACAGCAACCTCAAACTCCTGGGCTCAAGCGATCCTCCTGCCTCAGCCTCCCGAGTAGCTGGGACTATAGGCATGCGCCACCATGCCCAGCTAATTTTTTCTATTTTTAGATGTGTAGCTAATTTCTATTTATAGTAGAGACGGGGTCTCGCTCTTGCTCAGGCTGGTCTCAAACTCCTGGGCTCAAGCAATCCTCCCGCCTCGGCCTCCCAGAGTGCTAGGATTACAGGCGTGAGCCACTGCGCCTGGCCTCTAATGGTTTTTTAAAAAACATTATTTTGTATGTCGGTGATTCTCAAAGTGTGGTCCCCCCTTTCAGGGGATCCACAAGGCCAAAACTCTTTTCCTTTTAACACTGTAACATTATCTACCTTTTTCACTCTGATTCTCTCACCAGTGTACATTGGAGTTTTCCAGAGGCTACATGATGTATGATGTCAGTATCTCCCTTGACAGCTAACCGAATGTGCACATATGTGTTCTTTAGTATTAAAAGTCTCCTTTTATTCTCTGTACGTCCAGGCAGGAAAAAATAAATAAAATCTCAGTTTAAATTTCTAATATGGTAAATATTGATATTACCACATAAACAAAAGTTCTTTAGGGTCCTCACTAATGTTTAAGAGTGTAAAAGGGGTCCTCAGACCAAAAAGGTTCAGAGCTGCTGTTAAAAACAAAGTTGTCCCAATGAAACTATTTGTAATGCTTTTTTTATCATTTAGAATTTAAAATAGTGAATGAGCACATTTAGACTTAAACATAATACATTATTATCATACATCGCTCTTGTGCATGCAATAGAAAGAAAATATAAGCCAAAATAGATTAAGGAATTCCTATAATTTTTTCATATTGAGAATCTCTGTTCTTCTGAATCACTTTTCAACTCATAGTCGTTGATGTCTGCATTGTTCCACACAGAAGGGTCCTGTGTGTTCTTAATCACCACAGGGTGAGAACGCAGCATTTCTTAAGAGCATTCCACTACTGTTTCCTGCAAGCTATCAACAACTGCTTTACCAATTCTGATGCTGGGGCTTTCTCGGTCTTGCCTAAAGGTGTGAATAGAAGGTTCCAAGACAACAGACAGCATATTTCTTTTCCAGATGGTCCTTATGTAATTTGTTGAGAGAAACATGGAGATTACATTTGCCAAGTCATTCCACCAGGAATAACCACTGAGTTTTTACATATTCAGGCAGGGACACCTCATTACAACCGTGACCTGGCCAACTGAGATCATAAAACGTCACCCATGGTAAAATGTAACAGGATTTCAGAGATGTTACAAAGCAAAACAGTATGAGTTTTAGCACCAATGAAATATGAAATTCCCTGAATATAATTCATCCTTCTCTCCAAGTCTTGCTAAGGGAATGATGAGGGTTTTTCATCATCCACAGGAACTCATTGTTCGTGACAATTCTGGTTCAAAATCAAAGTTAAGTGCTTTGGTTCTTTCTGCTCTAGGCACCCCGTCTCTGTGCAGTCATCCGTGTGTGGCAGTAGAGGATGCAAGGTATATTCCTCCAAGACACCAGTGTTGGTTTTCTTGTGACTGTGTTAAAAATTTTCTGTTTTCATCAACTCTTCCCATTGTTAAGATTTTTTTTCAATAAATGTAACCTTAGTAATTTAATATCAGGGCCTATCAGTAGGTTATTAATTTTGAAATTGATTTATATTACTAGTATGATGCGTTGGCAACTACTCCCAATGATTTCATATGAAATTCTGATATCTACTGTAAACAGAGAGTTTGTTGGGGGTGAGGGTGCGGTGACAGCAGGGAACAGAGCACTGCTGCATCCTGATGGTGGAGTTGCTCATGGTGCTTTTGGTCTACATATGAGTCAGTGATATGGATTCACAAGGGAGCAGCCCTTGCAGGGAAGTCAGAATGCCAGCATCTTCTAGTTTCACATAGTGTATACAATGTTTATTTGGTCTAAGTAAATGTCTGATAGTAAACATCCAGTTCGACTGGTTCCACAAGTAGAAATTACCAAGTCACAAAGTCTTCATCAGGGAAAAAAATACAGTCACCTGTGTAAATGAAGCAAGAAGTGCCTGATCAAGGATGAAATTTTCTGTCTTTTCCCGTCTGGCTGGCGTTTTTCATTTTAGTCTTGCGTGAGGCCGGTTGTTTAGGCCAGTGATTCTTTTTTGTTTGTTTGTTTTGTTTTTTTTGAGACAGAGTCTTGCTCTGTTGCTCAGGCTAGAGTGCCATGGTGTCAGCCTAGCTCACAGCAACCGCAAACTCCCGGGCCAGGGCTTAAGCAATCCTCCTGCCTCAGCCTCCCAAGTAGCTGGGACTACAGGCTCGTGTCACCAGGCCCAGCTGATTTTTTCTATTTTTAGTAGAGATGGGGTCTCACTCTTGCTCAGGCTGGTCTCCAACTCCTGAGCTCAAGCGATCCTCCAGCCTCCGCCTCCCAGAGTGCTAGGATTACAGGCCTGAGCCACCTCGCCCTGCCCTAGGCCAGGGATTCTTAAGTCCAGACCAGCAGCAGCAGCAGCATCACCTGGGACTTTTTAGAAATGCAAATTTCCAGTCCCCAGGCCAGACCTATTGAATCAGAAACTCTGGGTAGAGCCCAACAATCTGTGGCTCAGCAAGCCCTCAGGTGATTCTGACTCATGGCTCAGGTTGGAGACTGTTAGCCAATGTGTGGCAGGGCAAAAATTCATTGTGGCCTGTTCACTTTGCTTCCTCAAGAAAACAAATACAACCCACAACTGCTGCTGCCATCAAGGGAAGAAAGACAAGAGGAGCCCAATAGAGGAGGTCATCCTTTCCTCAGGGAAACCCGGGGCTCCGAGTCTGCCCCCAACCCCTTCAGCTAGGAGGGAAACAAAAGAAGCCAACAAGTCTGTGTTTGTTTTGTTTTGTTTTAAATCTGAGACAGTCTCAGGCTCAGAGTTGTAAAAGGAAGCTGCAGGAAGCAGGCCCCTACCAGAAGGCGCCCCTGTGAGCCATGGCAGGTGCCCTCTCGTTTACTGACAGTTCACCAGTGGGCCCACTTCCTGCTGTTACTGGGGGGCCTCTATTTAGAAGTGCCCCTCTCGCTTTTCTAATATGCCCCGGAAAACCACAATATTAGGACTGGTTGTGTAGTAAAAGTAAGTAGA